ATATATATATATATATATATATGCCTATGTGTGTGTGAGTATGTGCGTATGTATGTGTGTGTATGTGTGTGTGTATGTGTGTGTGTTTGTGTACAAATATTTGAAAATTAGCCACAGAATATATTGTAGAAAACAGGTTTATTGAAATAAAAGAAACACATAAAAACATACTTTTACACACAAGAAGCATATACACATATACGTACACACACACACGCATACATGTATATATATACACACATATATATATAATATACATATTTATAAACATATATATATATATATATATAATGAATAAATTGGTATATATAGTAAAAAATATTACACTGAAATACAGACAGATGTGCAAAAAGTAGTGAATAAGTGAAAAATATGGCAATCACTTAATATGGCGGCCATTTATAAATCGGTCTTGACACAATAGGAATATGAAAATTGTTCTAAATATGACTTTTATAAGTACAGGAAGTCGAGTAGGTTTGGTGGAGATGGGATATAATGGAAGAAAGTTGAAGGAATTTTTTTCTTTCTCCATATTATTTTATTATTTTCTCGATCTGTTTGATAAGACATTCGGATTATGATGAAAAGGAGTATTATTTTGTCGGCTGCTTAGACGTTTTCAAGCCGAACGGAGACGGATTGACGACCGAGACGAAAGCAGAAAGTCAAAATTGAAAACACTTCGGACGACATATTAGTCTGGGGACATCTAGACACGAAGAAGTGGGCCGTTGATAGAATAGGAAAGAGAAAGATATGGAAATCAGTGGTCGAGAAAGAAAAGTAGCTAGGGACAGAATGTCTAGTGAAATAAACATAATTACCTCCCCTGCTTATTTCACTACAAGGTGAACGAACGTTCCGGGGAAAAAAGAGAAGGAAAGGAAAAAAGAAAGATGAAAGAAAAGAGATGAAGAAGGAAGAAAGTGATAAAGATATTCATAGGCGGGAAAAGACAGACAAAAACCGTTAGAAATCATGAAAAATGATATGAATGTCTTTGGAAATAAATAACGTATTTCACCTCTATGGAAGTCAACCAAACAAGGCATAACCAAGATTGAATATTAAGAAACTGCATTGAGAATTCAGTTCTGTTCGATTATTGTCGACAGGGCTGGTGCAAGACTATCATGTCAGCCTCCCATGTATCTATGAAACACGTCTCTAACCTACTGCATCTCAATTTTCATCAGGTAGTATTATATAAAATACAAATTTTATTGTAACCTAATTATGTACAATAATGGATCATATGCAATATAGGTGAACAATTCAACTAGAAAAATTGAAAATAAATACAATGAATCTGAATGAAATCTAGAGACATGTCATAATAGATCATCCCATCTTAAATACTCACCGGAGTCGATCCTTCAAATCTACAAATCAACCATTCGCCCTTGCATGGAGTATTGCTGCCATATATGGTCTGGTGTCCCTTATGTTTGTCTCAAGGTTCTTGACAAGATCCAGAGACGGATATGCAACATAATTGGCCCTGATCTGGCGTCTCGTCTGCAGTCACTCTCTCACAGACGTGCCGTCGCCTCCCTCTGTCTTTTTTACAAATACTTTCATGGTAACTGCTTTCGCTGGTTCCCAAATTTCATGAATTTAAGCGCCCTACGAGGCTGCCATCTCGATTTCACCCTTTCACTATCGAAACTGTTAAATGTAGCCGTCTCTTCTACTCCTCTCGCCTGTGGAACTCCCTCCCTTCTTCCTGTTTCTCTGATAGCTAGAATCTCCAACTATTCAAATGTCAATCGATATCTCCAGATGCCCTGATCTATCCCCTATCCTTCTCTTCATCCTTTCCTATATCACTCCTATTTGTTCTAGATCCAATTCTGTGTAACCCCTTTGCGTGCTAGTGGCTTCCCGCCTTGCTTGGGGTGAAACGCTTAAAAAAACAAACAGAAAATAAATCAAAAATGTTTTGCGGTAATTGTAGCATCAACTTGAAATTTTTCTTCTTAAAAGTTGAATAATTTTAACATATGGATAAGAAATAGTGAATTCAGCATCGTGTTTTTTGAGATTTAGCAAAACAAACTCAAGGTTTTGAACAAACAAATAAAAAAACAACACCAGAATGACATCAAAATAAGTAAAAAATTTCCATTCTTTAATAGTTGTGCAAACTAATTCGTAATGTATATAAATGCAGGTAGAAAACAGCAAATGTTAACAAGATAGCGGGGGTCACAAAGAACTGCCCTCGATTCCTAATCATTATAAATTTACAAATAAGCAGTATACAGTTGAGGCCTAAATGTTCAAAACGGCATTGTTTTCGTCAGAAAAGTAGGTATAAGTTTTTATCAAAGTTGTTTTATGTTCTATATTTTTCACTGACAATAAATACGATATTAATTGTTATTGTCTAAGATTTTGGTATACTTTGAGAGGATAATTCAAAAGTTATGGATAATTTAGTGATTTACTGCAAAACCCATGGCGCCCAAAATGATCAGAACGATTGAAAAAATAACAAAATAATAAAAAAATGACAGAGAATACTAGAATTATTTAATATTTAGTGTGAAGTCCTTTAGCTTCAATCACACTTTGACATCTTCGACTGCATGAGGAAATTAAATTTTCAATTTCTTCCTGAAGGGCATTCCATAATTGCTCGGTTGTTTTAGGATTTCTGGTTTTCGAACGTTCTCCTAGAATATTCCACACATTTTCAATAGGATTGAGATCTGGGCTTTGAGCAGGCCAATCCATAACAATAACCTTTTCAGCCTTGAGGAAGTTCATGACCACCTTAGCTTTGTGACATGAGGCATTGTCCTGCATGAATATGGATGGTCGCTTAGTTTAATTTCTCAGCACAAGCAAGACATGATCTTTTACAAGTTGTTTATAAACTCCTGCATTTACCTTTCCATGTAATCGCACCAAAGGGCCCACACCATCTCCAGATATCATTCCCCAAACCATGACACTTCCTCCACTAAATTTAACACTAGTCTTAAGGCATTGAGGCGACAATTTTTCACCTGATTTTCGACGAACGTACCTTTTCCCATCTGATCCAAATAACATAAACTTAGGTTCATCACTGAAATGCACCGTTTGCCATTTTTCTTGAGACCACTACACATGCTCGGTTGCAAAGGTAAGACGACACTTTTTATTCTTGGAGCTGATCAGTGGCTTCACTGCAGGTGCTTTTGCTTGTAGGTCATGTTCAACTAAACGACGAGACACAGTTTTTCGAGATAAAGTTTTCTTCAGTACAATGCTCATTTCCCGAGAAACAGCAGCAGCAGTTTTAAATCTGTCCTTTTTAACCAACTTTACCATAGCACGATCTTCTCTCTTGGTCGTTTTTCTTGGCCTGCCTGTAGACTTTCTTGCTTCACACGAACCACAATCATCGTAGACCTTAAGAATACCGTGAACAACACTTTTTAACTTATTAACAATCTTTGCAATAGACCCAATACTTAAATTATCCTTCTTTCGAAGCTTAATAATCTGCTGACAAATTGGTAACGGAGTAAGTGGCATTATATTAACAAAGTACACTGCAGATATTCTTACTAATGTTTAGTAAACGAACCGTCACGGTAAACAAATTAAAAAAAAAATTAGAGTTCACCGGTTAAATATACTAAAGCACAAAGTAAAAGCAACCGTACTGATTATTTTGGGCGCCATGGGTTTTGCAGTAAATCACTAAATCATCCATAATTTTGGTATTATCTTCTCAAATTACACCAAAATCTCAGACAATAACAATTAATATCGTATTTATTGTCTGTGAAAATTATAGAATATAAAACAACTTTGATAAAAACTTACACCTACTTTTCTGACGAAAACAATGCCGGTCTGAACATTTTGGCCGCAACTGTATATTAATGATTGCTTACTATACGAAAAGGTACCATTGATGAGTTTAAAAACACCTGTGAAGTATAAATGTGCACTGAAGGCTACTACACGTCAGCTGTATTTTTCACGTGAGCTTTGTAACATATCCAGCAAGGCTCGCTTTGGAAGACGACCTATTCTGAATGAAGAACTTGTAAAAGATATTGAATTGGAAAAGCAGCAGAGATTTTAATGTGTCTTGTCCAGCGGCCCAGGAACATCACAAGCGAATTGTTAAAACTTGCAAAAAGGAAGAGTCGGTTCTGTCATTTGAGAAACGAACACAAGATTCTATCATCTGCAGCAGACATCTAATTAGAAATGCTAAATCAAGATTTGAATGCCATCGTTACAGGTGATGAAAAATATGTTTTGCGTGTCAGCTGAAGACAAAAACGCAATGTGTTATCACCAAGCGTAAAACGAATGCCATCAACAAAACAATGGTTCAATCCAAAGAAGACTTCACGTTGTCTCTCGTGGAATATAAACATTTTCTTTATTGATTGATTTGTTTTCTATGGCTTTTGCAGGTTATTTAAAGCCAGAAAATATTTTTAGACTGTGAGAATTTTTTTTTTATAATAATCATGATTTAGTAATACAAGTCTTACTAATATCTGTCTATATTTCTGAGATGAAGTATTGTACTTATTTATATTATTTTCATTGTTCCGACTGTTGTCCTCATCTTTATTGCCATATTCAGGACGTTTCGGCCGTTGTAGGCTCCGGCCTTCTTCAGGATTTGTCTATATTTCTGAGATGGGGTATTGTAATTATTTAGATTATTTACATTTTTCGGAGTGTTGTCCTTATCTTTATTGTCATATTCACGACGTTTCGGCCGTTGTACGCCCTGGCCTTCTTCAGGATCTGTATATATTTCTGAGATGAGGTAAATATTTACGTTTTATATTCAAATATGTGAATATGACAACATTCCGAGCAATGTAAATAAGTCTTATTAATTATAACGAAGTGTTGGATTCATGCCTTTCCCACGGTCATAAGTGCGTAAGTGAATATGACAAACCCGACTGGAATTGGAACTCGGCTCTCCGATAAACAATTCTGAGCCATTATCCATTACACCCAAGGTAACAGAACCTGCTATTCCTAAACGGTTACCCATCTAGGTACTATCCAAGCTCGGTTTTACTTAACTTCGGTGATCTTACGGTAACTGGTGTTTCAATGTGATATATCCGTAACTTCTTACACTTTACATCTTACTAAAATTTGTCTTTCCATCATCTCTCTCAGTCTATCTTTTGCCATTCGTTTACACAAGCTTGTTAGATAGGTCCTGTGAGTGTCGATTTCTCCGAACCTGCTTTCCTTGTTCTCTGTCGTAAGCAGTTCAACTGTCTCTTTCTAATTTAAAGTATTAGCTTCCTTTTTCTTTCCATTATCTTAAAAAGAAAAACTCATTACTAACTTGGCCGCACTGGAAATAGGTGAGCAATAACTGAGCAGTCTATAAATATAAACCAGGCTAAATATCCCTAGAGATGGGCAGTGGAACTTCAGTTCAGAATCCCCTGTAGGCTACCCGGATCAATATACACCTGAAAGAGGCCGGAGGAAGAGTCGAAACGTAGTGATAACAATAACAAAGATAAGGATAATTGTCCGAATAGAAATATTGTAAATAATGATTACTCCTCATCCTAGAAATTTAGACAGAAATAAATTTCACTACCATTCGTTTTTATATCCTTTTTGGTAAAAAGTAATTACTTTTTAGGATAATTTAATATTTATAAAAGCCTTAGAGGATTAAATGTCCTTTAATGTGCAAAGAGAAAAAAAGGGGAGTGTTTATTGGGCGTTAAACTCAACCCAGACCTCAAGGGGAGCTCTTATGATCCATCGCTAAAGATGCTGGAAAAATGATCGGTCCCCTCTACCGCACCAGAAAGTACCTGACTCCACGTGCTATCCTTTTTATTTACAAGAGCCACATCAGTCCGGAAATGAAATACTGCTGCTATATATAGGCAGGGGCTGCACAGTCTTCACTTTCCAGTGTCTATACAGTTCAAAACTGTATCCGCGTCCTTTAGGGTGATGAATAATTTTCCACCCTCCAATCCCATTTTCACAGATGAAATGTCGCCAGCCTCTCGCTGCTCTTTCGCCATCTTTACGGAAAGTGTTCAGACCAACTAAATTTCTTGGTTCCACCAATTCTAACCTTCACGTCTAAGACTCACCATATCACGCCCATTGTAGCAAAACATCTTCATATCCCATCGGTGAGATGTAAGTTCCACACGAGCAGCAGCTTCTCATGAACCGTTGCTTTGTGTAATCGACTCCCAAGAGGATGCTTTCCCGATTAGTTCAATCTTAACCTGTTCAAGTCTAAGGTTAACCGTCATCTTTCACATTGTGCCTCTTACTCTGCAATGCTCTACCTCGAGTGGCCACCGAGTCTAGTACAGAGTGAATATCAGTGTAAAAGAAGTGAAGAAAAAAAGAGAAAGTGCCGTAAATCAAAATAGAAAAAGGATGCAAATTTATAAGAGAGGAAAGATGAAAAAGAAGACAAAGAAACTGAAACCTTGGAAGCTTCATGTCTCGCACCTCTCGCCTGTGGAACTCTTTTCCCTTCTCCTGTTTCCCTGTGAGTTATAATCTCCAGCTATTCAAGTGTAATGTCAATCGACATCTCCAGTTGCCCTAATCGATCTACTACCCTCATCCTATCTTCTATCACTCCTATCTGATCTTCCTATCTTCTGTAACCCCTTGCGTCCTAGTGGCTTCCCGCCTTGCTTGGGGTGAAATGCTTAAAAAAAAAAAATAGAGAAATGTAGCGAAAACAAAGAAGCCGCTTCAGTAAAAGAAAGAAAAGAATGCAAATGTTTAGAGGAAAAAAGAAAATATACCAGGTGCACTAACAAAGAGAGGATAAATATATATATATATATATATATATATATATATATATATATATATATGTGTGTGTGTGTGTGTGTGTGAAAATATATAGAAAATAGGAAGGAAATGGTTAGGTGAATAGTCCAAAGTTCCTTAGTATTTTTGTTATTATTTTTAAAAAATAGTGCTCGATACAAAAGTAGAGCATAAATATAATTATTTATTTAAAATATTTATTTAAAAATATGATTCCAAATCGATTTGGAATCATATTTTAAATAAATAATAATAATAATAATATATATATATAATATATATATATATATATATATATATATATATCAGTCAAACATAGAGGTTTGTGCCCACAAAAATTTTGTCAAAAGGGTGGATTTTCGCTTGACACCGCCATTTTTAACTACTATTCCTTGGCAAATGTTTTTTTGTTTTCTTTTAAAAAGCGATGATTAGAAATTTAATCAAACTTAAACATAGTACAGAAGAATTAAATATTTTCTTTGTTCGTGAGAATTAAGAACAAAAATAAAAAACACTATTTATTAAGTACATTGTTTATTTATAATATTTATCATAATATTTATTGGAATGGTTGTCAAAACATCGGGTAAATCTCAATTGATTCAAACTTTATAAAATGATAAATAAGAAGGATTTCTTTATAGTTGGTTCGCACATATTTTAACAATTTTGTAAATAAATGTTTATAAATTTATGAATAAAAATTACAGTAGAATCCCTCTTATCCGGAATCCCTCATTTTGAAGTGCCTCATATCCGGAAATCCGCATATCTGGACATGATTTTGATGTGTATATTTAAACTATTTGGGTGATATGTAACTGATTTAAAATTTCTATTTTTTAGGAAATTTACTTTGGATAATTGCTTATACATTATGAAATGGACAAAGTCCGACAATTATTTTAAGACATTTTTATGTTTATACATTTTTTTTTTATAGATACAAATATTTAAGTAAATGCTCTGTTTATAATAAACAGTATTAAACAACATTTACCGGTCTGAATGTCCGAGAAATTTTTACAGAAAATATTCGTCCTCCGATTTCTGTGAAAATTTCTTGGACATTCAGTCCGGTAAATGTTGCTTAATACTGTTTATTATAAACAGAACATTTACTTAAATATTAGTATCTATAAAAAGAATGTATGAACATAAAAATGTCTTAAAGTAATTGTTTATGCTTATTTCACTCTAATGGCTTGTATCGATGCAAAAGATGAAAGGAATAAGAGGAAAAGAACAACTTTAAAGTTATCGTAAAAAGTGGAAATTTTAAACAGACGAGATCCTGGTGAGAGTTCATTGTAACTAATGGCTGACTTCAACATTGGAAAGTCAACATTGTATGATATAAAATCTTCCAAAGAAACTATTCTCCAGAGTTCACACTGTCACAATGAACAAGGAAAGGAACATGATTGTGATGAAACCTGGACTGAAATTGAAAAAGCTATTGAAAATGTTGTCAGTTTTATGGAAAGAAAGCCAGCATTCAGCTATGACGTTTGCAATAATGCACGCAGAGTTAAAAAAGTGTCTTTCGTTTAAAAACTTTCAAGAACAAAAGCAAAACGAAATGCGGAAAAAGTTGAGAATGGCATTAGAAGAGAAAGAATCATCATGCAACAGCGATTAAAAAAGTCCTTGTTACATTATTTGTTTGTATACGTGGCATACTTAATTTAATGAATTTTCATTAACATTACATAATTTATTTCTTTTTCCTTAAAATCAATTCCGTTATATTTCACTCAAAATTTCAGCTTATTTTGTTCACTATAGAACATTGAAAATAAATGTTAAATCTGATTTCAGTTCTTTTATTTTAATCTAAATATAACTTTGTAAACAATTCCTCATATCTGGAAGGACTTCTTAGACCGGTTGTCAGGAATTCTACTGTATTTTCATATTTATTTCTTTATAATTTGGTAAATAAGTAATATTGTATTCCATTAATCTTAATACAATTTTGTTAGTTTTTTTAATGTTGTAAACATGAAATTATTTCTGTAGATAAAGAATCTAAAAAAATAATTAGAATAAAATGTTTATTTCTTGTTGTAAATTCTCAAGAAGAAAAAAAAAACGTTTAAATTCGCTTTCATCATATGCTTAGGTTTTATTAAAATTCTAATCATCGCTTTTTAAAACAATAGTCGAAAAGTGAAGGTAGTTAAAATAAAAACGGTGTCGGAGGAAAAACCGTCCTTTTGTAACCCCGTTTTTTGTTATTTTCGGGTACAATGATCCATGTATGCTGTATATCATTTTGAAAGAGAAGAAATCGAAGAATGAGGTGAAAAAAAAACAAAAAAAAAACGGAAGTAGCAAGGAGTCAGCGGATATTGATACAGGGGTGGTGGGACGAAAAGTCGAAACGGTGGTTGTGAAAAAGGGTTACGATAAATAGTGGATTCGGAAAAAGAAAGGGAAGAGATTTAAAGACCGATTTGATTCCATCAACTGCGACGTAGATAGAGTTAGTAATGGAAATGAAGGAGTTGGTTTTTACGGCTGCCTGCTGACCTCGTTAAATATTTGTCGGAATAAACGTTTTATTCTCTTCTTCAAAAATGGAAGAAATAAAACGAAAAATGGAAGAGAAGAATGATAAACAGAAGATAAGTATCAAAGAAATACAGAAATAAATAGAGATTAACAAGAAATAAGAAACGGAAGTGAAAAATGAGACGTTTAAAGAAAGGTTTTAAAGAACGAAGAGAATGAAATATGAATGAAAATGGAACAACAAAAGAAACGGAAAAAAACAAATTTTCATTCAAATGAATAAAGGAAAAATAAAATGAAACTTTTATAAGTAAATAAATGAAAGAAAGAATATAGGAACGAGAAACAAAAAAAAAGAGGGAAGGATGAAATATTGAAGAAAGGAATTAAAAGAAGAAAAAATTTAGGAAGGAATGAAAAATGAAAGGACAGAAAAAAAAAACAATGACAGATCAATTCATGTAAATAAAATTAAAAAAATACCCAATCAGTTAAAAAAAGAAAGAAAAGGGGAAGTATGAAAGAAAGGAAAAAAAAGTAAGGTAAATAAAACAATAAATATGCAAAAAGTGAAGAAAAGAAAGAAAGACTGAATGAATTAATTAAAGAAAGAATGAATAAAACAAAGAAAGAAAAGAACAAAAGAAAGAATGTGGAGAATTGAAAAAAGACAACTGTCGTAAATAAAGTATTGCTAAAAAATGATTCGAAGGAAAGAAAGAAAAACAAAAATAAATAACGAATGAAAGAAAGAAAGAAA